CTCCTGGAGGTCGGTCTGGACGAGGTTGAGAAGGCCCGGCAGATAAAGCATCGTGAGGTCGTGCAGGTTGGCGGCCTGGCCCGCCAGGCAGGCGGGCAGCGAGGCCGTCCAGGAGGCGATCGAGGCCGAAATCGGCACGCAGGAGATCGGGTCCATGTAGATCATCCCGCAGCGCGAGACGGTGGCGGGGGAGGCCACCGCGAGATCCTCCACCTCGAACATCATCGTCATATCCCGGTTCATCTGGATGATTTCGCCCGAGACAAGGCAGAGCTTCTTGTTGTCATCCAGGACGGTATTCATGGATTCAATCCAGAGCGCGTCGACCGGGCCGTCGAAGATCACCCACTGCTTGCCAAGAAGCGTCCCCTCGTCGCCGTAGCGCGCCGCGCAGCGGAAGAGCACGCAGAGAATGCCATCCCGCCATTCCCCGTTCTCGTCGTAGGCGCCGTAAAGCTGATCCATCGTGACCGATTTGGGGTTGCAGATGTGGGTGTGAACCTTCATGAATTCGCGGGGGCCGAGATCCTCGCCCTTGGTTTGCCGAATCGCACAGTTGGATAGGGTGGTTTGCAGTGCGCGGTAAACGGAGGTCTTCCCGCTGCCCGCCGGCCCCACCAGCATCAGCCCATGGCGTAAAATCGTGATGTCGTAGAGCTGCAAACACTTCTCCGCAAAGGCGGGGATGTTTTGTAAACGCATCGTATCGGTGATTACCGTCTGCAGGACGCCCACCATCGAGCCGTAGCTGGTCTGGGGTAGCGTAATCTCCGGGAAGAGATCGCTAATAATACCCTCGAACAGCTCGATGTCCCCTTTTAAAAACTTCGGCAAGTTCGAGTCCCGCAGCGCGCTAAGCAGCAGAATGTCCTCGTCGCTGTTCGGGTTCTCGCGCTTTTTGATCCCGGCGGCCGATATGACGCTGTTGACGGCGCGCATCCCAAAATCGTAGTGATCCTGCGAAGAAAGCTGCTCGGAGCTGAGTTTAAACGTCATCACCATCTTCTGCGCGAGGATCCGGGCGTTTTTGTAGCCATAGGAAAAGAGGCGGATCTCACCGATCATGGCGTAGTCCGGGACCATGCAGGCAACCGGGCGGAAGAGCACCTTCAGATTGTCCGGGAGCTCCGTTCGGCCGGCGTAGCCGGGGTTCATCGTGATAAAGATCGCGTGTGTGGGGTCAACTTCGATATCGCTGTCCTCGAAAATGATGCGATATTGCTTTGCCAGACAGGCCTGCTGGAGGTCGGTCACTTGCTGCGCAATCACCGAGAGCACCTCGACGTCGATGCGGTTGAACTCATCAAAACACGCCCAGGCCCCGGTCCAGGCGAGGCCTTTGAAGAACTTCCCCATCGAAAGATACGTCATGCCCTCCTGGCAATTAAACACCACGCACTGCTTGGCGAGGGCCTTGGCGAGGTCTTTGGTGGTTTCCGTCTTGCCCGTCCCCGCGGGGCCGGCAGGGGCGCCGCCCAGACAGAGCGCCAGCGCCCCCGTCAGCGTCAGATAAATCCGATCCGTCAGCGGGGTCACGACGAGCCGCCCGGTATTCCCGAGGTACTCCCCGCCGTAAATAAAGTGCGCGTCGACCTGTTTAATATGGCATAAACTATCCGACGAATTAAAGTAAAAGCGGAGCTGCTTAACCCAGTCAAAACACGCCACGTCGGAGACGCCTTTGGCGACCATCCCCTCGACCGTATCTTTGGCGTGCACCTCGATCGTGATTAACGCGCCCATATTCACCCGCTGGACGGCCGTCAAGGGCGATTGCACGACCTCGACCAGCTCGTAGAGCTGTGTTTCCAGGACGCGGTAGAGGGCCTCGACGCTGCCGGTCTGCGCGAGGGCCTGCTCGCAGCCCTGGGTCCAATAAACCTGGGAAATGACAATTACGGCCTGGGCCGGCCAGGCCAGCACCCACGCCGCCCGCGGGGTCTCGAGGTAATCGCGATAGGCCAGCTCGGCTTGGCGGTGCACCGCCGCCTTCATCATCGACTCCAGCGACTTCAGCCAGAACTCGACGTTGCCCTCGGTCGCCACCGGCGTCACCGCGGGGAGGTGCTCGTCGTCGCTGCTGAAAAATCCCACAATTTCGTCCGCCTCGTTCCACTCCAGGCGGGCGATAAACTCGAAAAGCTTCGCGACGTTGTTGTCGATGCGCCGGACCTCCTTGGACTGGGATAGAATCTCCAGCAGCTCCTCGTCCGAGAGGAAGTAAAAGCGGGGGAAGCTCTGGCGTTTGTCCGAAAGATACTCATTCAGGCCCCGCTGGACCTCCTCCAGCACGCGATTCGACTCACGGAGGTTATCCAGCAGTTTGTTGGTGCCGAGGCAGACCTCCAGGACGTTGGTTTGGTTATGCGTCGTGGTCATGATTCGCCGCCAGGTTTTGTCGACCTTCTCGAATAGTTTGGAGAGGCGCGGGAGTTGGACGGTGATGTCGTCCGAGGTGAAAATCGGCTCTAAATAGCGCCACGCCCGCTGACACTCCACCCATTGTTCAAGGACGTCGGAGATGAGGTTAAGCGAGCGCTCCCAGTCCGTGATGCTCTCCTTGAAGTACTCCTTAAACGGTGAGAACTGAAGCTGTTGCGTGATATTCAAGTGCTCATCAAGCAGCTCGATCACCTCTTGGGTGTCCTTCAAGATGAACGAACCAGTTTCTTTGTAGGGCTCCACGATAAAGGACTTGCTCTCCCACTTCGCGCGCATCTCCTTCAGCGTCTTCTCAATCTGCAGCTCCTTCGCGGCCACCTCGCAGTGGCTGACAACGACATCTTTGTGCGCTAAAAGAGGTTTGCAGTCCTCCAAGACGTTGATGGTATCCCCTGTCTTCAACTTCATATTCAGCTTTTCCGACAACCCCTCCCAGTGGCGCTCCTTCATACCAGGATTGTTTAGCGAGACGACGATCGGCACCCACGGCCGGAAGAGCTCCACCAACGCGCGCATCTCCTCCACCATCTTCAGCGTTCCCGCCTTATCTTGGAAGATCTTGATGAGGCCCGTCAGCGTCTTGTAGGCCATCGCCGTGGTGTTCTCGACCTCGTCGGGGTCCAACGTCTCGAAGGCGTCGGTATGCCAGCGCCGGTAGCTCTCCTGCCAGGTATACGTCGTCAGCCAGAGGTCGCTATAGGGTTTAAATTCTTTATCCAGCTCGAAAACGCTGCGGTAGTCGATCAGGCGATCGCCAAAAAGCCGCTGATCGCTGTTGATCGCGCGCGCCTCCTCGATGCACTGGCGAATCTCGATGTTGTTCCGCTTGACATCCGCGACCACCTTGTCGGCCTGGTTGGACTGGGTATGTTTGGAAAAGGTTGCCACCACCCGCTGGAGCTTCTCCACCCGCGTCGAGAAGACGTCCTGTTGTTTTTGAAGCTGCGCGTAGAGCTCTTTTTCGATCAGGTCGAGCTTCTTTTTCGTCTCCGTGATGGAAAGGGCGAGGCGGCGGGGCCAGCCAATGGCCTGCCATTTATGCCCGGACTCGTCGTCCGTCAGGGCGAACTGAAAGCTCTCCAGGACGGTATAGCACTGCTTCATCCCATCAATCTCCTGCGTGAGGGTCTGCACCGTCTCCCCGACGTTCGCGATGAAGTTGTAGAGCTCAAAAAGCTTCTCCGGCGTCAGCGGCTCCTTCGCCAGAACCCGGCTGATTTTGTTGAATTCCTCGCAGATAGACATCGCTTGCTTGCGGTTTCGCTTGCTGATGCTGCCCATAATCAACTTCGCGAGGTTGTCCTCCTTCTTCGCCATGAGGGAGCCGAAGGACTGGCTGTTCACCACGAAGTTGCCGACCGGCAAAAAGGGCGGAATGCGTTCGGCCACCACTTTCTTCGCCTTCAGATGCTTGATGATCTCCTCGCGGGATTCCTCGATGGTGTGCTCCTCCTCGGTGTAGTTTCGAATAAACTCATTTTCATTGAGGCGTATGAGGGGCAGAAGCTCGTCATAGGTACTTAGATACTCCTGCAAGGGCGAAAGTGAGGAGCGAATCGAGCGACGGACCCGCTCCCGCATCCAATGAACGCGCTCATCATCCAATTTAACAGAGTCGAAAAAGGGACCTTCGCTGTCGTTTCGCCAGAAGTACTGCGTCATGACGTAGCGTTCGACCTGGGGAATGGCCTCCGTGCAGAGGATAGCTTGATTAAAGAGATCAATCACGTAGCGTTCGAAATCCTCGGCGGATATGTCGTACGCGAAGCGGTCATCCTTCTCGATGAGGTTAATCGTGAAGAGGGGTTGCTTTTCGATGCAGTCATCCGCGTCGCTGCCGGGCCATGTGTTCTTCACGCAATTCATGTTCACCACAAAGACGCTGAAGTCGGAGACCTCCTCAAAAAAGGTCGTGAAGGACTGTAAAGAGGAGTAGACAAAGTCAAAAAGGGTGTCCTCCATCATGAGCCGAACAGTCGTGAAGAGTTTCTTGAGTTTTGACATCTCATAGATGTCCTGCTTGGATTCTTTCAGATTAAGCCAACCCTTCGATGCGGTTTGAAAACTTTCCCTAATCACCTTCCCGACACTATCTAACCATTCATGTTTCAGGTAGCTCGCAACGTGGTTGATACGCGCCATCTGGCGCTTCTGGAAAGATTCTAACGGCATCTGCCTCTCCGTCGGCAGGTCAAACAAGTTCTGCTCGAGAACCTTCATACACTCCCGCCGTACCCCGGTCAAGGCCATCACCACCTCCGGCTGAGTAAAGTAGGTTGAGAAGATAAAGGCCCGCTCACAGCGCTTGAAGTCGAAGCCGATGTCGATGATCATGGCGGGGTCGCCGAGCTCGCTGAGGGCCACCGACACGTTTGGGCCGCTCACCAGTTCCTTCAGGTTCATCCGGGTCGAGCGTTCGACCATCCGCATTACGCTGTAATTTCGCTTCATTAAGTCTCGCAGCATAACGCGATTATGGCTTCGCTTCCACTCCAGTAAAATCTCCTTCACGAGCTGCTCGGCGTGGCGTTCAACACCTGGAAAGGCAGCCTCACCGAGCTGTGGGATGCCCGTCCCCAGGCGAAGCAGTCGCTCCCGCAACCCGTCCGTGAGGTCCGGCAGGTCCGTCGTCGGCATCGCATCGCAGGAAAGATAATAAAGAATCCACGCCATCGCTTTCTCCCGCTGCGTGTGCGCGTTCACGAGGCGCTGGATGTAGACAATCGGGTCTTCAGCTAGGAAACGGACAAATATTCGATGAAGGTAAACCTCGGGTTCATCCTCGACGATCGAGGATTCCTTGTCGGTTTTTTTCCTGCGAAGGTAAGCCGGGCTGACGGGGCCCCACCGCACGGACAGCTCATTCGTCTCTACATTCCACCCGAATACACGACAGGGATTCATCCGGTACTTTTTACACGTCGCGTCGTAGAAGACCCCAGTGGCGGGGAGAAACCGTGCCTTCGGGTTTGGATTTCCTTCAGCGATACTCATCCACTCCGCCGGACCGCGGCAGTCGTACGAGACGTCGTCGAAATATTCAAGTGGAATTATGGCGCTCGTTCGGCAGGCCAGCCGCTCCAGATGGAGCCCGCTCAATTCGATCAAATGTGTGATGTCGAAGGAATCGTACAATCGGCGTCGCCGCTCGACTTCGATCGGCCGTGGGACACGCCCCCGGACGTAAGTATAGGGGATCTGCACTTTCGGCTCCAACGCCTCGGCGTGGGCCTCCGGAAAGAGATTCGAGGTCTTTTTGAAGACGCTGCTGATGGGTGGGGCCATGCGCTGCCCTTTTCCTATCTCGCTTCCATCTCCCAGGAAGATGGACTCGGATGCATACTGGGGGTTGTTTTTCCAGGAGGGCGTTGACCCCTCCATGGGGTCCCCCACCATCATCAGCTCATGGGCTTCGTCGATATCCGGCCGGAGGTAGCTACGGATCATGATACTGAAGATGGATGAAGTCTAACAATGGTACAGGGGAATACTAAGGCTAGCCTGTGTAACAACAGGAGCCTATTAATGGTACAGGGGAACACTAAGGCTAGACTGTAACAGCAGGAGTCTGACAAAGATACACTAAAGCTAGAGTGTAACAACAGGAGTCTATCTAAAATAGAGGGAGGTGTGGGGGTGGGAGGGGGAGGGAAGACGTACCCCTCTGAAAGAAAAAGGCACTTGATATGCTTTTGAGAATGTGTGTAATTTTGAATAAAATTTGGAGATAGTAGAGAGATGAGATTTGTAAAAATCAACAACAACATAAAACAATATTAGCAAATAACTAAATAGATGAGCTTTCTTCAGAACAAAAAAGCAGCGTAGTAAAAGTTCTATAACGTTCTAGAAAGCTTCTAAAGTAACTATTTATGGGATGCAATTTACTGAAATCATTTTAATCTAGAACCAGTATATAAACAAAAAATGTTTGAAATAAAGATGGAAAGTTTAGAAATTACAAGAAGTCTAGCTTTAATAAGGTCTAAGCAGATGACATTACGATATATAAAGCACCTGTTGATCAGTGATCACCCGATAAAATTGTGTAGCATATGAAGAAAGAGCCATTGGGTAATCCCCTCCTGTAGCCTTCTTCAATGCCCTCATGAACTCTTTGTCATTCGCGAAATGTTGTATTCCCAACCCTTCTTCTTTCTCGTTGACGTGAAGAAAGGCCTTTAACAGGAACTCAACCACTTCGGTGTTGATAGGTTGCTTATCTAGAGCTCTTTGTAAAGCGTTTTGGCCGCTAACTGAGAGCAATAAATCACTCATTGACGTACAAGAACAAGCTAAATTGTAGATTATCGCCGCAGCATGTATTGATACCGAGTCATTCGTGCAAAGTGGAAGAAATACAGTTTCAACCGCATCGTTATTTGTGAAAACAACGCATTGAAGGTTCGCATGAGACGCCGTATCTATTTCCAGAGCGCGTAGAATTGCATCTATTAGTTTACAGCAGATATATAAAATGTGAAGAACCCCATTTTTCATTGATAAAATGCTAATTCGATTGAGAACAGCCAGGTGATTTTGTTTCAACACAGAGCAAATACCTCCTTCCTCTTCTTCTTTTCGATTGATTTGGGAGTGTGCCTCATAGAGGAGGTAAAGTGGGTAAAAAAGGTCGACATCATCGACGCAAGAAAGGTAATTCCACATACACCTGCAAAATTGATTTGAAGTAACTAAGGATAAACAGGAAGTATTCCATTTTGCACAAGTGTAGACCAGACGCAGCGCGCACTTTGGCATCGGATCCGGATTCAAAAGAAGCTCTGGCAGTACATCTGTTAGGTTTAATAAAATACGAAACACCCATTTTTCGAAGATAGTATCCATCTCACGTGGCGCTTCAAAATCAGAAACCAAGGCTGTCATCAAAGATGTCAGAAAGTAAAGGGCCACAAGGCATCGTTCACCCACGCCTTTTTTGACCATCTCGATATAATGCGGAACTAAAGTAGAAAAAATAACGCAGTGATGTTGGACCACGTCACCGAGTTGTTGAACTAAATAAAGCGCCAGGGCATTGAAACCTTCTTCATAGGGGCGATACAAGGCGCTATTCACTGACTCCTTCAAACATTTCCCCAAGCTTTCAAAAACATCGAGGCGTAAGGGAATCGATTTTAACAATGCCGTAGAGCTAAATAAATGATGTAAGGAGGTGATATAAAAAGGTGTCGTAGTGGGCGATACGCCTCGAGCCACCGAACTAAGCTTTTTGGATATGTAAATGCCAAGAAAGGTTAAAAAAGCGGATATGCATCGTTGAAGATAAGAATCCTTCGCTTCGATGAGGTGCGAGATGAAGGAAAGTTGGCAGATGGTGCAGGTTTCAGAGAAAGTGCGCCCGTCCAGGCAGCCTAGCAGCAGCATAAACAAAGATAGCTTAGCGACGACGGTATCCGAAACCCCCCTCGCGCGATTGCATAAATAATCGATCAAATCGTCTTTAATATCGATGATAAGGTTTATTATCTCTTCGGCCTGATACTGGGAAAGCGAGGAATTAAGCTGGACTGCAGTGCTCGAGGATGCAGGCAACGTCGTCCACACCAACGCAAACGGGTTCCTCAAGGATATCATTGCCTTCAGAAAAATATGGTTAATAAAAGCAAGTAATACCTGCACACAGCGAGGAGTTGGTAGAGACTCTTCCAGTTCTGTGTATGCAATATTTATCGGTAGCTTTTTATTCGAGAGTAATACGGGAATGAGTTCGTCTTTTAACGTACCTAATCGCAAAGCAGCAGAAAGAGCACTCGCGCGCATATATTGGTTATGGCTAGAGTCTAAGGTATACACCATAATTAAGCACTCGATGATACGTTTCGAGCAAAAGATAGTGCATCTTTTCGAGTTTGTAGAAAGGTTCTCGATAGCTTTAACGGCAGAATGTCGAATCAAGAGATCTTCCGTTTGCAAGGCCAGTGTAAATACCTTACGTACACCTTCTTCTATTTCCTCCCACTCCTCACATACGTGTTCCTTTTGAGCGGTAATGTAGTAGATTAATTCTCCAATGCACATAATTAATTTGCACTTGACGATAATATCAAATTCGCACAGAAAGAAACGAAGCAAATGCGGGATAATATTCGCTTTGACGAGATCAATTGCAATATAGCTCGCGTGGCGAACGAGCTGCCCAGCGAGTGATGCAGCCTGCATCCTACAGGATTGAGGAAGATGCGGTGACCCTGCCATCTTCACACAAAGCGCCATAATTGAGCTATTTACAAAGCGATTGGATAATATGGGACCATTTATAATCGTTGCCAAATACTTGAGAATGTTCTCTTTCTGCTCATTCTTGGCGGTATGACAAGAAAGAGAGGTGTAGATACACCTCATAAAGGATTCGAAATCACGCTCGCTTAATTTATCCACATTATTTGATTCAATCACTCGAAAGGGGATTTCAGACGCCTTGAAAGTCATCGCCTTCATGCGTTCTATGTGTTTATTACCCCAGAGCGGCCGAATATTGGCATCTAAGGGGCACCATATAAGATCTGAAATAGGAATACGGCGGATAGCTTCGGAAGATTGCTCGTCTAATGGGTTTTGAGTCAAAGAGTCACTCAGTTTCGATGCTGCGTATGCGCCATTCATCCGTCGTTGGTTGCTCATCACAGTACAGTCCACATGTGTAATGATTAGACACCCATCGCTGAAAGATTGCTCCAGGTTGGGATGGTTATAGCTTGATTGTAATAAGTCATAGGATGTAGGATTTTGTGATATCCTATTTATCGCACTATGAGTTTTTCTCTTCTGGTTCTGTCCTTCACATCGAACCTCAGAGAAGTCTAAAATTTCCGCATTACTGAGTTTACTCGGCGAGAAATTTAGCTCTTTTCCAATGCAAATCTTATTTTCAATCGAATCGACACCACCGCATGCGTTTGAGGAGGCGGAGTAATTGGCAGATGCAGCTTTCACAGCATGGTTCACCGCCGCATGCATATCAGACTCCGTCCATTGCATTTTTTCTTTTGCTTTTAGTTCATTTGTGGAGTTTTCTATCCATGAACATGCTGGCAGCATGTCAAGACTTAATCCCTCAAGGGCTCCCCCCCAAAACCCACACGACAGTACATCCTTCCAGGTTGCGCGGTGTAAAGGATTTTTCTCAAGCAGATGCGCAATAAGCTCGTTGAAATCCCCCCCCAGACCTTCAATTGGGTGCACTGGCTGTGTAAAGACGTTTGTCAAAAGCTCTTTCAAGTCTTTTCCCTTAAAAGGCGGCTCTCCAGAGGCTAATTCATACAACACACACCCTAGTGACCACAGATCCGACGAGATCGACAGCGCGTCTTTTGCGGAAAAGACGAAAAACTCCGGCGCGATGTATGGCGGGGTTCCGATCAATGGGCCATGCCCCGCATTTTGCCATGGGCAAGCCAAGTCAAAGTCACTGAGTACAAGTGAAGCGGTGGAATCCATAAACAAACTCGAGGGCTTCAATTTGCGGTGGAGAAGCCCCTTCGTGTGAGTGTAAAAGAGCCCAGAGCAAACGTCGCTTCCTAAGAGCCGCACGCTCTTGGGGTTCATTCGGCAGTTGAGCCGCAAAATACTCTGCATGTTACCACTTAAGTAAAGATCTGTGATGACCCAAAAATGGTTTACCGTTTCATACCACTCATGTAAACCAATAACATTTGGATGGTTTAGAGTTTTTAGTACTCTAACGCTATTTAGGACTCGCGACTTCAATGATTTATCAATTGAGTGAATGGCATAGAAATTTATTGTCTGACGTTTTCGACCCTTGTAAACACGACTCATTGTACCCCTTCCTATTTCTTCAAGTAGTTGATACTCGTTCATTGAATCTACCGTCTTTGGATAAATCTAGTGGATCGAGGTCCGTTATAAAGAAGGCACTGTGAAGAGAACGTTTTTCGAGTTGGCCCTATCGAAGGGGAATATATAGAATATTTAAAAAGATTTATATTTGCTTCTATAAATAAAATAGCCATGTCTCTATCAAAATACTAAATAATTCTTAAAGCAATAACAACAATAATAGTATGAATGACAGCAACAACGTTAATATATATACCACCCGCCAGTGATACAGAAACCTGTATTTAACAAAATGAAATATTGGAGTCTAAATTCAGGGAAAAATGAACTTTCAATCATTTTACTCAAAGTAAACACTTTTTTATTTGCCGAATCTACATTCTACTTTCAGTATTTTGGTTGCTCACTAACAAGGAACTTGCCTGGAAGTAGATCTCTCCTTTAGCCCGGTTACCAACACCTGTAGCTTTGATGAGGTACTTGACGTCGTTCTAGAGGCTGGAACACGAGGTATTATGGCTACGGTGAGAGAAATGCTTTACATCCGATGGTGGCAGTTTCTTTTGTAATGGTCCCTCAGTACTGCGAGTACGGTAAGATGCAATCATACAGGATTTTATCATCTACAATTCCCCACCGAAAGGGGTGCACCTTTTATCCTTCTCAACACTATCATGATACGCTGCACGACCTCAAGGGGTGTTTTCGCCCGGACAAAAACGCTTATCGATTCCTTGGTACAGTCACACCACCCCTTTCCTACCCTTTTTCTTACTTTTCTGTTGATAATTGATTATATTGTATTGATAAATATATATATATATAGTATACTGTTGAAATAAACAATATTTACCCCAGTTGAATCCCTTTTAATCTCCCAATTCACTGTTTAGTGTGCTAAATCATAACGTTGCTTCGCATGTCGAGCAACCTGAGTGATATAATGGTAAAAGAAGTCTAGATACATTAATGATTGAACAATCCCAGACACTACTGATATCATATTGACTCGGTTGTACACAATGTACCGTACAATCCAATGTAATAAGTAAAAAATGCGGTACGCACCCAGACAAAATAAGTAGTGTGAGGTCAAGGCTTCATAACGTTCTGTGTATTCCAAAAGAAAAATTTGAGGTAAAATGGCTACTGCCTCCAAATATTGTGAGAACGCCCATAGCACCTCTACAATCCACGTTCCCCTTGTTGGACCAGGGTGGATCAGTAGTGCTAGGATCAGGCAAGGAACAATTAAATAGCGAATTCGGAATGTATCATTTTCACTGTCGTATGTTGCCTTCCAAGGGCTCCTGAATTTCATGAGAAAACAAATATGGCATGAGGTGGCGATAAAGAAAACTTTCATTATTGTATTATACAGCGAATACATTCTCAGGAAAAGATCCAAGTAGCGTGTGATAAAAACCAACGCGAACAGAATCATTGACTTGAGCGAGATGCCTGCGGAGGAGCGTTGACGCAACATCTTCAGGAGGAGTATGACAATCGCCGCCAGGTGTAGCATGTCACCGAAAACCCTAAGAAATGACATTTTGAATCCTACACAGTGAGAAAGGAAATCAATAAAAGGTTATAACTTGAAGACGCAAAAACGTGAAGTAGGCTTGGTGTTTGAGGTACAAAGAAGAGAAAAGGTATCAAAAAGCTTATATTGATAGTTGAATGAACAATCGTAATAGTAATAATAACTGTGAATCACAAGAACTTTAAAAGTGAATCGTTTAATCGAGAAGTTAAAAAAGCACGCTTTGCCGCGGCAGACAGAAGATGGAATAATTACGATATAGGTAGAGCAAATTCAATGATTAAACCTTCGAAAGGAAAAAATGTTGCCTCTATTAATTTACTATATAGATGAACATTGGATTTGAAAGTTTTTATCGCACACAAACATAAAGACCTAATAATTCTCAGCCTAGAAATCATCCTTCCAGATGTTTGGAACCTCACTTATGTACGTATATATATATATATACTCATTTCTATACAGTAACCATTCTAAAAGATTCAACTAATTTACCCACCTTTGATAATACGAACCGGAAGCTGTAGTGGATTCATTTGCGCCATGTAAATAAGGGCCCAGGACATCCAACAACAAAAGGTTGCTAGAATCCAAAGAACACGTATTAACTCGGTTTGGGTGCGTGACCAGATGGGGGCCACGAACACGCCGATAAGTCCCAATAAAATATAAATAAAGGTGCCTAGAAGAAGACCCATAATTTCTAAAAATGTCTTGAACTACACTAGATCTTTCGTAGAAGCTAATGTTATGGAGCCTAGCACTTAATTGTTGCAATTATCCATGTAAAATACTAAGTATATCAAAATAAAATTCAAGTACAGATGATTTAGAAAAATGTAAAACGAATACGTTCATACGAATAGCTCAATACCAATATTAAAGTTCGAATAAGTCCCTGATATTAAACATTTGGGGGTTATTGAGGGGGAAAAGAATATATCATCACAATATCGACACACACACATATATATCTATATATATCGCTCTCTATATAGAATCAGTTTCATCGGTGTAATTCCTAATAAATCACCCAAAACAATTACCACCACGGTGACTTATACATACACAGAACGGACGGACCCTTTTATTTGCACCATTATCTATCACCCCCACCCTCTTCTCATCCAAACCATTATGGATTTGGGTTTGACAGCTCTCCCGTCATCTCCCAGTCGCCCCTGGACGTCTCCCGCCACATCGTCGCCGTGCCGTTTGCGCAGGACACGAGCAAAAAGGTCCCGACCTGGGACCAGGAAAGCCGGGTCACGGCCGCCTGGAAGTGGGGGAGCATCGCGGCCCGCCAGGGCGCGCCCGGCGCGTCCTGTGACCACACCGCGACCCAGCCGTCCTCGGAGCCGGCCGCGATGTAGGAG